TGCAGCGCGCTGTATGGGAAATGCAGCGACTTGGGGTTGTCGGGGGGGGCGAAGCCAGGGCTTGGCTGAAGGTCACTGGATGTTTCCTCTTGTAGCCCCTCCATGGACGGCCCTTCTGGTGGGTTATTTTTTTCTCTCCGCCTTTTTAGTCCTCCACAAACTTTGTCCTGTGTTTGCTTTACTCCCCTCAGAGAGGAGAAGAAAGGGACTGTGGAGAACGGAGACCTGGAGAAGGAGAAGGTGAGTGTGGTGGGACCACGGCACGGCGAGCTCCGTGCCCAGCCGCCTCCCGGGCTTTTGGGGGGTGTGGGGGGACAGGAGGGCCCCCCAAACCGTCCGCTGGAGGAGGCGGGAACTGCCCATTAATTGCACGGCGGACTCTCAGCAACGCCTCTCCCCCCGGCCCCCTCCCGCTGCGTCCCCAGAAGAACGGGGTGCGGTTCCTGCGCTGTCCCGCCGCGATGACCGTCATGCATCTGGCCAAGTTCCTCCGCAACAAGATGGACGTTCCCAGCAAGTACAAGGTGAGTGTGCGGATGGGCTGCGCTCGCCGCACGGCTTTTGCTGCGCTCCGGTGGGCTCCGGGTGAGGGGGGGCGGTGGCGATGTCATTTCGGCCGTCCCGTGTTGCATCCCCCCGCTGCCAATACGCCGTGCTTCGCTTGTTCCCAAATATCACGGCTCCGCTTGGCGCAGCCCGGGCTTTGCATCCCCAGCGGGTGGGCGCTGGGGCAGGATCCATCCCGTACGGCGCGTTGTGTGTAAACTCTGAATTCGCTCCGGTATTTGGGAAGGGCAGTGCTGGGAGCCCCGGCAGCCCCCGGCTCCGCGAGAGGCACTCGGGGACAGCAACGCCCCGATGTCCCATGAGCGTCTCCGGGGGGGACCGGCGGTGCTTCTGCCCCCGCGCTGGAGGGGGGTGACACTTTTCCCTGCGCCAGGTGGAAGTCCTCTACGAAGACGAGCCCCTGAAGGAGTATTACACCCTGATGGACATCGCCTACATCTATCCCTGGAGGAGGGTAAGCGGAGCTGCCCCCTTCCCCACCGTGGGCACACGGCGCCGGGGCTTGTCTTGGAGAAAAGCTCGGGGGAGAAAAAAGCAGTCCTTTGGGGGAAGGCGGGAGGCATTAAAAAAGCTTAAACACTGAAAAACTTTAGATTTGAAGAACTTACTTAAAAAATTGAAAAATTTAAGAACTGCAAAAAACTCAATCGAAAAGCTTAAAAATGGGAGCACGTCAAGAAATCAAACCCCAGATGCCCCCTCCTTACAAAGGTGTGGGTTTTAGGAGGCTGGAGGGCTGCACATGCTTTTCTGCCCCTTTCTCCAGGGCGGGTGGGAGGACCGGTGGCCAATCCCTGGCCGTGCCACCAGCGTGAGCGGCCGGTGCCGTGGTGCGCGCCGTCGCCGTCCTGGCACGGGGTGCCT